TTACAAATAGGGAGGTTCAAGACCCTTGTAAGACATCACAGTAAAATGGAGGAATGTATTGCAAAAGGAAATAGCAAAATGGCATTATACTGGGAAAGATGGGTTAGTCTGTGGACATCGGAGGGTTGGAGTTAACATCAGAATGAATGGTGGATTGGCCGCTGTGTGTGAAAATCCAGAACTTGTACCGTACATGTGAGCGAAACATTTTATCCGTTAGTCTACTCCAATCAGGGGAGGGCTGGTAGGGTAAAAATAAATGCAAGTAATGCACAACCTGCATTTACATGTAAAACGTTCAAGACTCATCAACTATCAGTCAATCTCCTCAGACTGACATAATGGTCTCTCTCTGTGAGGAGGAGAGGTGGTGTCATGACGGACCACCTAATCCTTTATTGATGGCTCTGGTTGCTGGCAGCACAGACCATCTGCCCGCTCTCTGTCTCTCTGGATGCGTTCCATATAGCACCCTTTTCCCTATATAGTGCACTTCTTTTGACCAGGGCCCATAGGGATGTGATCAAAAGTAGTGCACTGTAAAGGGAATAGGGTGCCATTTGGAATGAACCCTGTCAGTGTAGAGGGACAGAGGGAGGGATGGAGGGGATAGGAGTGGTGGCCAGATGTTCCAGGGGGACAGAGCGGGTCAGATGTGAAGTGTGTCAGAGACAGGACAGCTGTGGAGCGACCCCAGGGGTCACAGAGGTCACCCACGTCCCCGATGGACACATCAGTCACAGAGGGGGTGTCCTGAAGCCTGTCATTCTGGTGTCCCCTCCTCCCTCCCTCCTTTCCTCCATCTATCCCTCTTTCCCTCTCTCCATCCATCCATTTGTCTCTCCATCCATTCATCCACCCCCCTCCCCCCATCCCTCATTCCATTCCTCCCTCCATCCCCTCCTCCCTTCTCTCAGTGCCACACCAGGCACGTGTACATAAGGGCTAAATCCCCAGAGTACGCAGGCCACAGGAACAACTATAGAAAGATCAATAGTGGCCTGAAATGTCATCTGGTGAACAGTGATGCCAACACTCCCCAAGGGAGTGTCACTGTCAAATCGTGCACTAACCGATGAATTGTCCCTGACCTCTTGTGCACTGAATACAGGAGTATCACTATCTCCACGAGCCCTAACCAGGCCTAGGAGGTACACAGTGGGGCTGTCCTCAAGCCCGGCTTTCTCTCCATCTGTTCCATATGTTTTCATGGCATGTTTTTGTACCCATGTTATGGCTTAATTTGAATTACTATCTTAGATGTCTATTAGTGCAGTTTGGCTTGCCTGCTGAATGAAGGTGTGGGATTTTTCAGGAAGAAAACATTTTGTCCTGAGAGATGAAGGAAAAGTGTAAACCTGACGGTTGTGATTGACTGTGGAACTACAGTTGACAGTCATCAGATTCAGTTGCGAGGAGAGCTCTTAATTTTTTTTGGCGGTGACAGTATTAACAGTCAAATGTTGCTTTGGGCGGTAGGTAAGTATTATCAGTTGAAATGTTCTTGTAACGGCATTAAGCCCTGTGATGAAACATGTCAGAGAAGAATTCCTGTCACTTGGATACCACCAGGTCCTCGCTTTACCATCAGACAAGAATACAATCTAAAGTTGTTATGGAATTGGTACATTCTCAACAATAACGAACATGTTGTTCCCTTGATGGTTCACTTCTCATGTCTCTCTGTGTGTTTGCTGTAGGCATATGCCCAACACGGTATGAACCAGATAGTAGCTGAGAGCCATAGATGATAGCATACCGTGTTACCATCAGCCCCTAGGCATACCAGACAGTAATAGGGATTGTTATGTGACCATAACACATTCACAATCAGATCCTGCCCTTCATTAGAATGAGAAGGCAGACGGCAAAACCTGGCTGCGCGTATGTGTTTGTGTGTGCGTGCTTGTGTGCCTGCGTGCATTGTTGTGTGTGCGCGTCTGTGTGTGTGTGCGTGTGTGAAGTGGACGGCCCCTCCCTCGGCCTGGTCTAGTCTGGCAAACTGTTTTAATGAGGAGATAGAGAGTGTCAGGCTGACACATCAGGTCCCCCCTGCCTCCATTACACCCCATTATAATCATCATTAAGATAACCCACCACCGCTCATTGTGTCCTCAGTATTACAGCCTCAGCCGTCCTATTGGTTTCCTTCCTCCACAATGTGTCTAGGAAAGAGAGGGGTTTCCACGGCAACGTCAGCGAAGGGCGACATTTCGACAGAGAATTATTTGCCTTTCTCTCTCTCTCTCTCTCTCTCTCTCTCTCTCTCTCTCTCTCTCTCTCTCTCTCTCTCTCTCTCTCTCTTGGCCCACCCAGACAAGGAGTCCTTATTAAAAAAATTCTAAAAAAGCCATATTATTATACCCAGACCTGAATTCATTTGGAAAGTCGTGACACCTTTGCCTCCCTCGCTGCTCCTGTAAAGGCAAAGGGGGAACTTGTTTAAAATCTCCATAATGCGTTTTATTACCCTTTTATGGGTGTTAGAATCCTTGGAAGATTAAGCGGGTTGTATTAAGCCCTGGATATTCCATTAGGAGTCTGCCTGCTCTGAGGCGCTGAGCTGAGAGGAGCTGAGAAGGTGAGCTCTCACTGGCTGCTAAAGGCTGGAGGCTAGCTCTCATTTGTCACTGGCTGTTCTCTGCGGCGCTCTGCTGCTCCCATGGAGCTGTTTAATTGAGGCTCTAGTAAGCCTTCTTGAATCTCTGCTGCATTAGAGGCAGAAGTTAGAGATGCTTAAAGGGCCATTCAGTCCTAGTCTGTGTTTCTTTCTCTCCCTCTATCTCGATCTGTCTCCATTTTCTCCTTCCTTTTAAATATTTGTTCTCTTCACTTGCAAGTGATATTTCTGTATTCAGAGGGATTCCACTTCCGTGCTGCTTTGCTAATTTGAAACCTATATTTTAGGTTTAATGCGGCTACCACTGTCTTGGTTAGTAATATTGTATTCACCCTGAATTTTTTTATGTAGCTGACTGTGGTCAGGAAAACATGGTGAAATGTGAAACATGATGCCGTTATCACTACTAGCACTTCTTCTGTCATCCACCATTTTGTCGAGCAGGGCTTTTTGTCAATAGATTCCAATTAAAGCCTCCTTGAGATTTATGTTTACTGTGGCTTTATTTATTTAGTAGAAACATTGTAGCCCATTAAAATGTTATGCTCTTGGTACTGAATATGGCAATTCCCTAGAATGATCCTTGTTATAAAAGCTCCTTGTCTTCCCAGGGACCCAGATGAATTGGCTGAGAAGAAGTAGCTGGCTGGGTTCAAAGTGTTTGGCTGTAGCCTCCAGCTTTAGAAATCCCTTGAAAGATCTGGGGGATGGAGACGCAAGGCCATGATAAGGGGCTGTGATCTCTTTTCACAGAACAATTGAAACATAATTATTTAATGCCAGATTGTGTGCTCAGCAAAGCCCTGAATAGTAGTGGCATTTAACTTTAATTAGGTGTGATTTATTCATACTGACTGGTTCGCTCGCAGAAATTGGATCATCTGATTATAGTCAAGCATGAAAATGACCTGATTAAACACTTGATAAAACCTAGGGAGGGAAAGAAAAGGGGAACCTTGGGTAGAAGACATGTAGAGGCAGTACGGTGAGGGACGGTGGGAGGCAGGCAGATACACTATATATACAAAAGTATGTGGACACCCCTTCAAATTAGTGGATTCAGCTATTTCAGCCACACCTGTTGCTGACAGGTGTATAAAATCGAGCACACAGCTATGCAATCTCCATAGACAAACATTGGCAGTAGAATGGCCTTACTGAAGAGCTCAGTGACTTTCAACATGGCACGGTCATAGGATGCCACTTTTCCAACAAGTCAGTTAGTCAGATTTCTGCCCTGCTAGAGCTGCCCCAGTCAACTGTAAGTGCTGTTATGGTGAAGTGGAAACGTCTAGGAGCAACAACGGCTCAGCCACAAAGAGGTAGGCCACACAAACTCACAGAACGGGACCGCTGAGTGCTGAAGCGTGTAGCGCGTAAAAATAATCTGTCCTCGGTCATCTGTTCTCACTACCGAGTTCCAAACTGCCTCTGGAAGCAACGTCGGCACAAAAACTGTTTGTTGGGAGCTTCATGAAATGGGTTTCCATGGCCAAGCAGCCGTACACAAGCCTAAGATCACCATGCCACGCGTCGGCTGGAGTGGTGTAAAGCTCGCCGTCATGGGAATCTGGAGCAGTGGAAACGCGTTCTCTGGAGTGCTGAATCATGCTTCCCCATCTGGCAGTACGACGGATGAATCTGGGTTTGGCGGATACCAGGAGAACACTACCTGCCCCAATTTATAGTGCCAACTGTAAAGTTAGGTGGAGGAGGAATAATGGTCTGGGGCTGTTTTTCATGGTTCTGGCTAGGCCCCTTAGTTCCAGTGAAGGGAAATCTTAACGCTACAGCATACAATGACATTCTAGACGATTCTGTGCTTCTAACTTCGTGGCAGCAGTTTGGGGAAGGTATTTTCCTGTTTCACCATGACAATGCCCCATGCACAAAGCGAGGTCCATACAGAAATGGTTTGTCGAGATCGGTGTGGAAGAACTTGACTGGCCTGCACAAAGGCCTGACCTCAACCCCATCGAACACCTTTGGGATGAATTGGAACGCCGACTGCGAGCCAGGCCTAATCGCCCAATATCAGTGCCTGACCTCTATAATGCTCTTGTGGCTGAATGGAAGCAAGTCCCCGCAGCAATGTTCCAACATCTAGTGGAAAGCCTTCCCAGAAGAGTGGAGGCTGTTATAGCAACAAAGGGGGGACTAACTCCATATTAATGCCCATTATTTTGGCATGAGATGCTTGACGAGCAGGTGTCCACATACTTTTGTAGTGTATTAGCTTTGCTTTTTCTTCTGGACCAACATACCACACATGATTCTCAATAACAGTTAGACAGACACTTCTCCCAGCTTTTTCATTACACCAGGAAATGGTATATCTACCTCCTCCCTTAACGTTCATTGTCTCTTTGTCTCTGCAGTTGTGTCGACGAATGAGAATCCAGAGTCCAAGACTGTCAGCTCGGCCAAAGTATCTGGGCTCCAGCGAAGCCAGGAGCAGAGTAACGAGGTGTCCTTCACCCCGCGTGTGTCCAGCCCCACCCCGGCCTCCCCGCCGACGGGCTCCCCTGCCCCCTCTGCCACCGCGGCAGCCCCCCCTCAGCCCCTCCCCAGGGCGCGGCTTGCCTCCCCGCCCCCCCTCCTCATCAAGAGAGAGTCAAACCGGGCACCGCCCATCCCCACCCCTCCCCTGCTGAGGGCACAGCCCCATCCTTTCCAGGAGCACCGGATCCCTGTCTCGCTCCCTCTCCCCCAGCACCAACACCACGCCAGGCCTCTCATCAGCCACCAACATCTCCAGCATCACCCACTGCAGTACAACAGCCTGCACGACATCAGGTACAGTAGGACCACATCTTATACGTATGCTCTGGTTCTGTTTAGTTATGCCTAGCTCTCTTACATGCTCTGGTTCTGTTTAGTTATGCCTAGCAGTCTTCTTATACTTTATACCTTGCTGATATGACATGAAATGATAAGACATGATACAATACCTCATTGTCTTACGTCAGATAGCGGGTCGATTCCATCTGCACTGATCTGTCGTGTATCTAGCAAAGGGTAATGGGATAGCTCGAAGTAGTTTGGATACAATGTGCTATCTAACGTTAAAAAATATTACCTAGGTGACATTGTCTAATGACCCAATTTCATCCTCAAAACAGACTGAATTAATCAAAGCTAAAACAATAATCATTATCTTGTATACACAAGTGGAATTTCAGGTCAGCACATCACATATACACACACATTCTCAGAATTCATAGACACAGCTTCAAGTCATGTAATAAACCCACTCAAATCCACTGAATCCACAATCTATATAACTCATTGGTCTTTCTTTCTTTCTTTTCTTTCTTTCTTTCTTTCTTTCTTTCTTTCTTTCTTTCTTTCTTTCTTTCTTTCTTTCTTTCTTTCTTTCTTTCTTTATTTCTTTCTTTCTTTCTTTCTTTCTTTCTTTCTTTCTTTCTTTCTTTCTTTCTTTCTTTCTTTCTTTCTTTCTTTCTTTCTTTCTTTCTTTCTTTCTTTCTTTCTTTCTTTCTTTCTTTCTTTCTTTCTTTCTTCTCTACAGTCACAGCAGCAGCAGCGCAGGCCTCCCCAAACACCACCACCTGCCCCCCTCCCCCCACCACCTGAGCGGCCTCCCCTCCTCCACCCCAGCCCTGCCCCTGTCCATAGCCAACCTTTCTACCTCGCACTATTCCTCCCTGCGAAGCCCGGCCCATCGCCATCCGGCCATGTTCGCAACCCCCGCCACACTGCCGCCACCTCCGACCTTACCCACTAACAGCCTTGTGGTCCCTGGGCACCCTGCTGGCACCCCCTACCCAGGTAAGACTGCCCTCCTGACTTCTCTGGCAGCAAGCCTAGTCTGTCTGCCTGCCTTGTGTAGAAACTGGACACGTTCTGTAAAAGCCAGTTAGTGAAAACATTCAGCTATGTGTGTATTCTCCTTGTAGTACTGATATGTTTTCTTAGACTTTGCTCCATAGTTATTTGTGGCCTGTTCTCTTGATAAATTAATAATAAATCAAATCCCATTTTATTTGTCACATACACAGTTTACAGCAGGTATAAAAGGGGAAGCAAAATGCTTGCTCTTTCAACAAAGCAGAACATTAATCAATAATAACAAGTAGTAGAAGTAATAAGAGGTAATAATAATGATCTAATGAGAAATTTGAGAACAAAGGGCTATTCTGTAACATTAAGTAGAAATTCAGCCAATCTACTGTGATTTTCAAGTCAATTGTTGCAGAAATAAATGTAAACCCAACTGTACAGTAAAAGCATCCAAGTACAGAGGCAATAAAAATGAATTATGTGATATTAAGTAGACATTAGCATGCCAGGTTACATTGTCCTGTAACCAGTGTTGGGGAAGCTACTCTGAAAATATATTTTACCAAGCTACCAATTACTTCTCACTGGAAGATGTTGAGCTACACTAAAGCTACCTGTAAGAAAAATATAGTTTACTTAACTAAAGTTATGTTGAAAAGTACTTAGTAAAAAATTATCATATCTAAATCTGAAATGTCATAGACTACAAATTGCAAGAACAGATCACTCTGGAGTCAGATGTTAACAGAATGTGTAATTTAGCCTATTAAACACAAAAACGATGTTTCAAGTGAGAAATTGTAAGAAATTCTTGCCTACTTCACCCACCCATATTTTATTTTTGCAAAAGAAGTAGTGTGTAGTTCCAGTAGTTAGCTACACCACTACATGGCAACAAGTAATTAACTAGTGAAAACACTACCAAGATTTGAATTTAGTTCAACTACCACCAAGCTACTGAAAAATGTAGTTAAATTACTAGTTGAACTACATGTAGTTCATTACTCCCCAACACTGCCTGTAACAAGCGCTGTAACCATTAAATTATGATGTGGTAAGTGAACAAATGTATTACAATTGCACATGCAGTAAAGGAGGGAATAATGGATCTATGTAGGACTATATGATAAAATAATATATATATTATCCCATTACAAATGATGAAGGCATTTTAAAAATCTTGATGCCCCTCCATGTTACTCCAATTACTACTTTTTATCAATGGTAGAGATTTCTCATTTGTATGCTGGTTTTATTTGGCTCAAAACTTTGTTAGTTCTATTTGAGTAATCTGGGCTGAAGAACAGCTTTAAGTGAAATGCCAGAGGATCTTTTCTCCTCCGTGATACTGCATGCTGTCAGCTATCTGTTCTTTTATGGCAAGTCAGGGGAATGTCATGTTAGATACAGTGGGGGAAAAAAGTATTTAGTCAGCCACCAATTGTGCAAGTTCTCCCACTTAAAAAGATGAGAGAGGCCTGTAATTTTCATCATAGGTACACGTCAACTATGACAGACAAATTGAGATTTTTTTTCTCCAGAAAATCACATTGTAGGATTTTTAATGAATTTATTTGCAAATTATGGTGGAAAATAAGTATTTGGTCACCTACAAACAAGCAAGATTTCTGGCTCTCACAGACCCGTAACTTCTTCTTTAAGAGGCTCCTCTGTCCTCCACTCGTTACCTGTATTAATGGTACCTGTTTGAACTTGTTATCAGTATAAAAGACACCTGTCCACAACCTCAAACGGTCACACTCCAAACTCCACTATGGCCAAGACCAAAGAGCTGTCAAAGGACACCAGAAACAAAATTGTAGACCTGCACCAGGCTGGGAAGACTGAATCTGCAATAGGTAAGCAGCTTGGTTTGAAGAAATCAACTGTGGGAGCAATTATTAGGAAATGGAAGACATACAAGACCACTGATAATCTCCCTCGATCTGGGGCTCCACGCAAGATCTCACCCCGTGGGGTCAAAATGATCACAAGAACGGTGAGCAAAAATCCCAGAACCACACGGGGGGACCTAGTGAATGACCTGCAGAGAGCTGGGACCAAAGTAACAAAGCCTACCATCAGTAACACACTACGCCGCCAGAGACTCAAATCCTGCAGTGCCAGACGTGTCCCCCTGCTTAAGCCAGTACATGTCCAGGCCCGTCTGAAGTTTGCTAGAGTGCATTTGGATGATCCAGAAGAGGATTGGGAGAATGTCATATGGTCAGATGAAACCAAAATAGAACTTTTTGGTAAAAAACTCAACTCGTCGTGTTTGGAGGACAAAGAATGCTGAGTTGCATCCAAAGAACACCATACCTACTGTGAAGCATGGGGGTGGTAACATCATGCTTTGGGGCTGTTTTTCTGCAAAGGGACCAGGACGACTGATCCGTGTAAAGGAAAGAATGAATGGGGCCATGTATCGTGAGATTTTGAGTGAAAACCTCCTTCCATCAGCAAGGGCATTGAAGATGAAACGTGGCTGGGTCTTTCAGCATGACAATGATCCCAAACACACCGCCCGGGCAACGAAGGAGTGGCTTCGTAAGAAGCATTTCAAGGTCCTGGAGTGGCCTAGCCAGTCTCCAGATCTCAACCCCATAGAAAATCTTTGGAGGGAGTTGAAAGTCCGTGTTGCCCAGCGACAGCCCCAAAACATCACTGCTCTAGAGGAGATCTGCATGGAGGAATGGGCCAAAATACCAGCAACAGTGTGTGAAAACCTTGTAAAGACTTACAGTAAACGTTTGACCTGTCTGTGTCATTGCCAACAAAGGGTATAGAAGTATTGAGAAACTTTTGTTATTGACCAAATACTTATTTTCCACCATAATTTGCAAATAAATTCATTAAAAATCCTACAATGTGATTTTCTGGAATTTTTTTTCTCATTTTGTCTGTCATAGTTGACGTGTACCTATGATGAAAATTACAGGCCTCTCTCATCTTTTTAAGTGGGAGAACTTGCACAATTGGTGGCTGACTAAATACTTTTTTTCCCCACTGTAAGACTTGAGCAAAAGGACGTAAGATGTTCATATTGAAGCTGACTTTTAGTTCTACTATTATGTTAATCTTGCAATATTTACATATTATTGTAATATATCAAATTTAGCAGAATTGTGTCTTTATGTGATTTTGTCTCTGTATAAGATACATTATTGAGGTAAATTATTCTTTATTGATACTATTTTCATGTTTATTGTACTATAATACAGAGTGCTTGACTTGGACTGAAATAAAAATGCCGGTACTCAATTTGGGTGCGAGTACTATTTATATTTAGGTGCAGGAGCTCCATAATACTTTTGAGCTAATATTCTATAAGAGGAACAGGAGCTCAAGCAGTAGAACATTTGAGGTGCCGATACTCAGCTCCGGTGAGCTTCTGCCCAAGTCAAGCACTGGTAATAGTAATAGTAGTAGCTATGATATGTAGCATTAGTGGAGGGAGAGTCTGCTGTGTTTTCTGCTGAGGTGACTCTTGGTTCTCTCTTGTCTTTAGATACCAGCCTGTTGATATCATTCAACCAACCAATCATGTATTGCCAGCCTCATTCGGGGATTCTGATTGGCACATTGTCACAGGCAACTCTCTTACCACCCCCAATGAGTCCTCACGTAGAAAACCCTCACAGCATGAGCTGGAGAAACAGAGAATGCCAGGTGACTATTCTTTCTTCTCTTCTACCCCGTTGTTAAGACTGACTGGCGCTGTGCCTTTCTTGTGTCTCCCTTTTTCCCCCTTTTCTCGCTCTCCTTTCTTGCAGAGCATGACCTCCTGCGGCAGGAGCTGAACAACCGCTTCCTGGTTCAGAGTTCAGAGGGGCGGAGCCGGGGGCCGTCCTCTGCGGGGTCCCCGCTGGCCCCTGTGTCACTCCTGAGGGGAGAGTTTCACCAACACCAGCACATGCATCAGCACCAACACACCCACCAGCACACCTTCACGCCCTTCCCGCCCAGTCTGCCCCCGGCCACCATCATTCCTCCGCCCACCGCACCCCCCATGGTGCGTACCCCAGCCAGAAATGTGAGGATAAGTAAATCTCCAATATAGTACCTCGACCGCCCCTCCTCTTCCTCGTCCTAGTCACCCCAACCGCCAAACGTTCATCCCCCTCCAACCGATATGGCTTAGAGCCTGCCCTCCTTCCCTCCCAAACATATGCTATCCAATCTCCCCTCTGCTGGTTGGGTCTCTTGGTCCTCTGCATACTGTCACAGGGACACTGTAACAGTGTGTTTTTACTGAGAATTGAGGAACAGGAGGCAGGGGCACATCTAGTCATCACTACAGCCCCATAATAAGGACACGATCTAACCTGTCATCTCCCCGCCACAGTACACATGATTGTAGTGGTTCATCCTCAATGCTGAAACCAGACATAATACTACAGTATGTAATAATAGAGATTATGCTTTGGGACCAGGGTTTTACATGCGGGTTAGCCTTTATAGAGGGCTGAGCTTCAAACACATTACAATGCACAAAGGCTCACTATATGCCCCTTTCCTTTACAGCACAAGGGAAGCTTGCCAAGCCAATGTATGTCAGTACAGTTGATTCAATGTATTCATCATTCTCTCTCATGACATACATTTTGCTGTTTCAATTTTTTGTCCTGGAACAAAGGAGACTGATTGAAGGGAGTGTTTTTATTGTTTTCATATGGATGTGTTTTAAATGTTTTTGAATGTTCTGATTTCCCTGCACCGCAACAGAAACAAAAGGGCCTGCCAACAGATGTGTGGCGTGACTGCGGTGCACTGGGGGCTAATGTTCTGCAATGACAAATTCAAAGCCTGTGGTTCATTGCAGATGAAAGGGTGTGACGTCATTCGGACTGTTTTGATCATGTATAATTGCTTCAGTGCCTTTTCAACTGCTATCAGACAAGGCATCAGACAGCATCGAGTCAGCCATCGAGTCAGCCTTTGAGTCAGCCTTTGTGTCAGCCTTTGAGTAAGCCATCGAGTCAGCCAGGGGCAAAACATTGACAGCTCTAGATGGGAAAAATTTTCACCGGAAAAGTTATGAGTATTCATCCATCATTTGGAATTCAATAGCAATCTGAGAAATCCATTCAGACAGGACTCCCATTTGTGCCCTTTCAGCATTAGTGTAATAGACATAATCTATCATGTCATGACCCCTAATTAAGAGGCTAGGGCCCGTTTAGCGCATGGGGCTTTGCTGCTTTGCTTTGTGGAATCTAACATGATCCCTGTATGTTAGAAACGCCAGGAAAAGGGCTTATCTTATTTACATACAGTATACAGCTATCTGATAAGCAGTCAGGGAGACTGTTTAGATTGTGAATCGCTCCGTCAAAAAGCATGTGTGCTGCTGTTGTTATCTTCTTCTGTCTGCAGCTGATCCCTTCATTCCTCTATATGTCAGCCAGGCATTCTGTTTGAAGATGAAGAGAGAGTTATTTCCTCATCTTGCTAATGCTGTATGGCTTTGTGCGCTCACATCTCTATGTTGTGTCTGATGCATTGTTGTTAGAATGGGATTTAAGACTGTTAATGTATTCTGTTTTATTGAGACTGTGTTTTTACTTAACCCATGTTGTTTTTCTCTCCTCTCCTCCCTCCAGCAACATTGTTGTTTCACTTTCATTTTACTGCTTGTTTAGAGAGGCAGGAGTAATGTTGATGTTGTGGGTGTTTTTTAGTGTTTGTCATGAAGTGTGCAGTTGGATCGGTCCAGCTGTGCTCACTTTGAGCGCTACATGTCATTTCAACTATGTAACGGCCCTTTGCTAATAGCTGTACTGAATGCAATTATGAATCCTCTGTATTGGTTTATTGTTCTACGCCATCAAGCAGCGGGCCTGCCAAATGGCAACACTCACTGTCTATTTTCCCCTCTGTCTTCTTAGGGAAAAGGAATATCATCAATTGTTTAAAGATGAAATACTGAGCTTTAATTATCCAAAGCTGTTTACAATAAACCTCTGACAGGCCCTGTAAATTACAAAGCATGAGTTTTATAGACAGCCATAAAGCCACCAGTGAGTATTACTCCCCCAGTGTAAAACATAAAACAGGCCTGTGCTTCAGAAGGAAACGAGAGAGTAGAGGGGGAAAAGGAGAGCGGACCGGTTTAATGAGCTTGGAAGCTGCCTCAGCGTTTCCACTCAATAGGGTGTCTGTGTTTGATTTGGGCCAATTATCGCCAGCAAACACAAACACAAACCCGCCGCTGTGACCGTTCTCTGTGGCGGATGTTGAATGGCCCCGCTTCGCTGGCAGGCCCAGGCCCAGTCAGAGGAGCTATGCCTAGTGTGTTGAGCGAGAGAACCGCCTCCTTTCCCGCCCATGTCGAAGGAGGGAGACACACAAACACACTCACACACAGAATGAACTGATTCGTGTGTGTCTCGTTTTTCCTTTTTTATGTAAACCCAAACCAGCGGCGGTTTGTAAAAACACTCACAAAAGTACCTGCAAATGGGTTGTCTATTTATGGAATAGGAAGAAGCAGGTTTCAAAATAGAGGAGCAGTCTTGGTTTACATGCAGTCACACAAAGTCCCCATTCATACATGGGAATACGCTCTCTCTCTCTCTCGCTCTCTTCTTGTCTGTAGGCCCTCACTAACTGACAAATATGTAAACTAGAGTCCCGTGGCTTGGCCTCATGACCAGATACTGTATATGAGGCTATAGTCTTTCTGTTGAAATCCATTATTCTATTAGTATGCTTCGGAAAATGTTTAACTATATTAAGTTGAGTCTTTGAAAATTGAAAATGTAGTCTACCCAATTCAATTTCTCCTATAAAAGACTGACTGCTCGTATACCCACAGTCATATGATGTTACGCATAGAAAATTGGCATGTCTCTGAGATTTCTCTCTCTGAATCGTCACACACACTAAAATGGCAACCCCCCTATAGTATGTATGTGTCTCTGTGTGCTCCATTTCCATAACAGAGATCATTGTAAAACCCTACATCTGTCACAGCCAATTAGTTTCACGTCTCCAAATGTTCCACCTAATAAGAAACATAACTCAATCTTCTCGTTTTACACTGGGGCCTTTTTGTAAGGTAGGGAGATCTCCCCCCGCCCAAGTATTGTACTGTATCTAGGCCTAACTCAATGGCTGTTTTTCTGTGCTGCAGACAAATTGGAAAATCATGTCTCTCTTATCTTGGCAGTCCATTTGATTAGTCATATCGCTGATGATTTAACTTCTTCTCAATCTGCAGTCTGGCCGGCCAGCCGCACGCTAAAGGGAAAAAAAACATGACCCCAGAAGGCTGAGTGTTTCCTTTGAGCCAGCTGCTGTCAGACTTCCTGGGCTTTTGATCTAACTGATGTTGTACTGAACTTCCTCTCTCCTGTGTTGTTCTATCACTGAATAGGTGTAATGGGGTTTTCTTGTATTCCTTTGATGGTCTTTAGTTCATAGATGCAGAGTTCCTGTTATTGTTATTGGTCAGTTTGGCAGAACTGACGTTTTACTATTTTCTTCCCCATTCTTTTTTCCAGTTCGACAAATACGCTCCAAAACTGGACAACCCATTCATTAGACATTCAAATGTAAGTAAACTATTTATTTCCTTTCAACTTCTATCACCATGCTTTTAGCATGTTTTCTATCAAATATTTACTGTGGTTAGATATTTGAAATTATGAGAAAATATCCATTTATTCTTCTACACATGTTTAAGTATGTCTGAATGTTGTCTCTATGCGTCTTGTTGTAATCTGTTTTAAGAAGTGGTTGTGTGTCTCCTCTCCTCCATGCAGTTCTTTCCCTCCTACGCCCCCACAATGCCAGGCATGCCCCCGCTGCTCCCACACTCAGGACCCTTCAGCTCACTGCAAGGAGCCTTCCAGCCCAAGGTTAGCCCCACAGACCTGCACACACACGTATGCATTGCGCACACGTACACAAACACACATACACACAGTACACATGTGCGCATGCACACACCCACACTCACACATACACACACACACTCATCCACTCACATAAAGACAAATATATTGTACTACGCACACAAACACACACACAAACTCATTCACTCACACAAGACAAAAACACCACATACACATACACACACACATAAACAAACACACATGCATTTCTTTCACAAACACACCCGCACTGGCAACTTAGCATTCTGCTCATCATCACACCCAAGAATGAGAATAGAATTAGGGGGCCTGGATAGCACCAACTACTTCCTTTACAGTCTGTGTACAGGGCAGCAGGCAGCTGCGTTTCAAGTGAACCAGCCTGACAAATCTGCTCCTGCTGATTTTTTCCCAATAATGGACTATGCAAACAAGGCCTGTCTTTAAGCTGGCGGGCCTGAACTACCAGCCACCATGCCGCGCTGCACAGTGCAGGGGGAGATAAGCAGCCGTGTGTGTATATGTGTGTGTGTATATGTGTGTGTGTGTGTGCGTGCGTGTGTGACAATCGGGGCCTGGCAGGCGCCCAATAGGCTCTGACCCTGTTGTAAGCCACCAATCAAAGCTGGCCTAAATCCCCTGGTCTTATTCCCTACAGGCTCTATAATGGAGGTATTTTGTTTCCTGCCTCCAGATGGTTAGAGTACAGTACAGTTAGCCCCCTCCATCTCTCCATTCACCACCTACAGCCCCCCGCTGGGCACCACTGAGCATCAGGAGAGGGGTTGGAGGATGGAGCGTGAAGGGTGTAGGGTGGAGGGTGTGGTGCTAGGGATCACCTGGGATCACCTAGTACTCTGGGATGGATTAAGATGGCTGATCTAGGCATTCTGGTTATTCTAGACCTCAAAGACAGAGATCTATAATTTGCTGTCTTGTTGATTATGTACTGGAGACAGCATAGGAGTGATAGTCATTGACGTCACATACAGTTGCTTGCTGTGCAGGGTCTCTTGGTGTGAATCAATGCAGAAGAGGCAATGTCTATTGTTGGTGTTGTGATTCTGTGCAAAGTTAATTTTTCCACCATCTTCATTTTGTATCACTCTGTCTTTCTCTCCTCCATTGCTCTCTCTTCTTTATCTATCCTCTCTTTTAGTCGTCTAACCCCATAGACGTAGCATCCCGTCCGGGGGCAGTACCTCACACACTCCTACAGAAGGACCCACGGGTACGTAGCCTACTGCCACTGTGTTGTCCCTCGAAAACACTAAGCACATGCTTTATGCTGTACAATAGAGATGAATGAAATATAGATGATTGTGGCTGTGGGTTGATTATGGTTCATATTTTCTTCTTTCAACAACACAGGTATCAGATCCTTTCAGGACATCAGTCAGAGTAAGAGATGGTTTCATTTGTCTTCCATGCACTGTCAAATCTACTGCAGTACCAAGTACCAACATGTCATAACATTGAGTAAATTCTACAGTATCATCGTGTCATAGCGTTAAGGTTTTGGGTTTAACCTACAGTAATTTGCTCACTTCCAGAAACCTGGCAAGTGGTGTGCGGTGCACGTCCAGATCGCCTGGCAGATTTACCACCATCAGCAGAAGATGAAGGTGAGCTAGCTGAGTGTGTGTGTGTGTGTGTGTGTGTGTGTGTGTGTGTGTGTGTGTGTGTGTGTGGGGCTGTGTGTGTGGGGGTGTGTGTGTGGGGGTGTGTGTGTGTCTGCGTCCTTAGGAGGAAGGAGGCCAAGGGAAGGGAGGGGAAGGAGGGATGTGCCTGATCCTCTGCCAAATGTTTTATTTTCCCAAGGATTCCTCTCTTTCTATGCCTACTTAGGCAGCGGCCATTCTGGTTGTGGTTTGGAAGACACCTCTTGTCTCTGTCATAGGCACCCTGTCCTCATGGGGTTTAGTGGGCCTAATCAGCTTACACTGATTTTGTTATGACACAGTGGGTATGTGTTGGGGATCTAGAGGCATTATTTATGTTGTCGCCCCACTCTGATCTCACATAGTGATTATATCACTGATTATAGCAGATTAGAAGTCCCTCCTTGACTATGAAATTACTGGCGTCAATTATTGTTAATTACTACATTTGCAAACACTGACAGTGCCACTTTGTTTATTTTCTTTCTCATCCTCTACCTTTTCTTTCCCTTTTATCTTCATCTTGCTGTCTGTCTGTCTGTCTGTCTGTCTGTCTGTCTGTCTGTCTGTCTGTCTGTCTGTCTGTCTGTCTGTCTGTCTGTCTGTCTGTCTCTGTCTGTGTCTGTCTGTCTGTCTGTCTGTCTGTCTGTCTGTCTGTCTGTCTGTCTGTCTGTCTCTCTCTCTCTCTCTCTCTCTCTCTCTCTCTCTCACCCCTTCCCTCTAACAGCAGATGCAGGTGGACCCTCACAAACTGGACATGAATGGAAAGCTGGACCTGTTCAGTCGTCCCCCCGCCCCAGGGGTGTTTCCAGGGTTTCCCTACACCCACGACCTGGCACGACCCATGTTCTCCTCCACAGGTCAGTACAGGGCTCATCGTCCTCTACCCAGCACAGGGCACAGAGGGACAGGTCACAGGGCCTTTAGGGATATTCTAGTTTCAGATCTGAACTTTTCATTTTTGTCTCCCATTGACATCTATAAGTGAGACACAAAAGTCCGGCTCTCAAGTCAGAATACCGCCCCTACTGCCCATAACCACACAATTCTGGTGATGTGGGTGCCATGCCCAATCTACCGAAGCCCATAGTACCTTTCAGGGCTTCAGGCTGAATTCTGAGTAGGCCTACTGTTGTCCAATAAGAGTGTAACTCTATGCATATAGACAGTTGTTTATTTCCTCGTTACCTGTCACATTGCTCCACACCGGTAATGACACACAGTACGTTAGTGTTCAGCTGTGTTCTATTCTTCTTTACCCTAGTTGAAGTGCTGTTTTTGTAAATGTTGTCCTAGACATGTGATGAGGCCATGAATATGGATGCTCCCCTATGGATGCTTCTCTATGTGTGCGTCCTAAATGGCACCCTATTCCCTACATAGTGCACTACTTTTTGTCAAAAGTAGTGCACCATGTAGGGAATAGGGTGCCATTTGGAACACACTTATTTGTGATAATTGACTGGTAGAACCTGCCTGAAGGGCAACATGGAGGCGGGTGCCCTTTAGCTTGTAATTATGCAGTATTGTGTCATGAATTGGCTTGTAATTGGCTCGTTCATTAAATATGGGTGAAGAACATTTTGTAAAAGAGGTCAACGTCTGTTCATAAAAAAGCGCCCCCTATCCTAAATGCATATACACGTACGTGCGCACACACATCCACACATCCACTCACGTGAGACTATTGAATATTATGCTAATTGCTGTCAAGCCTTTCTCAGCCAACCACTGTTAACCCTATGAAACATCAAATGTCCTTCACTGTATTTTTGGTGGTTTGTCCTCTTTCTAGATGCCTAGTTAGAGGTTATGACAGATGACTACTGATGCCACTATCTGAGTGGACACACTGAGATGACATGGTCTGTCCTCTCTCTCTCTCTCTCTTATCGATTCTCTCTGCTCTATCTCTCTCTCTCTTCTCTAACCTACTCGTACTAATATTATCTCTCTCTCTCTCTCTCTCTCTCCTCTCTCTTCTCTTCTCTTTCTTCCCACCTCCCCCCGCCCCCCCTAGGTTCTGGCCATCCGGCCGCCTCCCCGTACGGCCACTCCCCCCACCACAGCGGCTTCCTGCCTCCCAGCCACTTGGCAGGTAAGTGGAAGTAGCACCACATTTTACATCTAACTTTTTCTCTTTCTCTCTCTTTGTTGCACTCATATAGAGAAGACTACTACAGTCACATTTGTTGTTTGGAAAATAAGTTAAGTTGAAGGTTATAATAGGGATATAGAGGTTCTTAGTTGGCTAGTGAAGCCATCCTGTTGTTTCTCGTACTGAGTTTAAGTTTAGGGCTGTGTAGAGAGACCTCATGAAATCTATCCCTGTGATTCATAAAAGATACCCTTGAATTACCCTCCTGCCTGTACTGTAATGGAAGGAAGGCCACTCTGGGCTTGTTAAGGTCGTTTTTCTAATTCCCTGACTTTATTTTCCAGCCCCTTTGTTCAAGGGAAGGTTTTTTACTGCACAACATTTCATATTGCCTTGGACAGAGGCAGATGGCCTCAGCAAATATGCCATTTTACCTTGAGGCTTCTTTCTATGGCCTCTTCCAGTTCTGCTCATCTCTTTCACAGACAGAGTAATGAAGGTTTTGTTTTATTCTGTAGTTCCCGTCAAATATGTTGTTAGGCTTCAGTGCAGCAAGGTCATTTCACGGGATAAGCTCTTGAGTCAATCCAATTTGAGTTTATAAACACCTGGTGCACAGGGGAGAAACGTTGAGGAATTATGATACCCCTCAAAGATTTTGGGTGAAATTCCTGCCCAAAGAACTAATTGAAGTGTGTCTTGGCAGGAAAAAATATGTTCTAGCTGTTGTTTGCTGATAGATTGACAAACTGTTGTATTGCATTCACCACAGAGTGGAAGTCTTTCAAAACTAGATTAAAGGATCATTCATCATTGATATAACATTTTCCAATATTTCTTCTTACTCAGTCTTGAAATCTTTGATAAGGTTGTCTCCTGGTTCCTCAGGTAGGTATGCATACCTTTCCATTTTGAATTCCATGTAAACTGTGACCAGGTTTAACTAAGGCACTCATAATAGAAAAGGTGCTACGTAGAATGATAAAGGCTTCTTTGGCTGGAACCATTTTTGGATCCAGGTAGAATCTTTTCACCCAACGAAGAACCCTCAAAGAACCCTTTAACCTGGAAACATACAGCCGAAGATCCCTATGGTTCTAGGTAGCACATCTTTTCTCAGAGTGTGCAGGTTAAAATGGAAGTATGAAACACTGAAGCATCTCTAAGGCCTACTCAACAAACATTCTCCATTAAAGCAGCAGTGTGCCTGACTGTTGGAGACCTCCAAATCCCCTGTCCGATTGTAGTCCAGCTCCAACCTAGACCCCATCATACTCAGTCTCCCATCAGGCAGTGCTTCCCTAGCATCAGGGTTAGAGATTAAAGGCTCCGCTCCATTATGGACAGTGTGGGAGTAAATCCAGTGTCCAAGAGGTCTGAGAGGCCAGAGCAGGCAGCAAGCCTTGCTAGCTAACTACATACAGTAGGATTAGAGGAAGGAGGATAGCAGCGCTAGAAAACCCACAGCTCCGCTTGTAAGAGAAAAGCTGAGTGGAACGAGTGGTCGGGCTCCTCCAGCCAGCTCAGCTAATCCCTGTTTGGCATTTTGCAGATCCTTTCAGTCGCTCCAGTACCTTTGGCGGCCTCTGCAACCTTTCAACCAGTGCCTTCGGAGGATTAGGCAACCCCTCGCTTGGTAAGCGTCAGCCCCCCGCCCCCCCCATGGGCCAGGGAGGAACGAAATCAAGGCACTTAGTTCTGCATCAAATGCCAAAATAAAACTAACGCAGGGAGCAACAAAAAGGCAGGCAGCACAGCTACAGCACAGCTGCAACACAGCTACAGCACAGCTCCAACACAGCTCTCTCTCTGTCTCTCCATCCACCCCCCTCCCCAGTAGCTTGGCTTTAATCTGACAGCAACACTGCCAAGCACACAGCACTCATAGGCTTTCTGTTTGGTTGCTATTCATGTATTAATTATTCTACAAGCCCCCTCATCGCCACTGTGGAGGGCTATCTCTCTCTCTCTCTCTCTCCCTCTCACTCTCTTATTCTCCTCTGCCAAATAATTTGCCCTGTAGCGAAATGGATTTCAGTGAAATAGACACCCTGTGGAATGCTAAGGTCTCCCCGGCTTTTCACAACCCTCACCCCCAGAGGGTAATTGAGTCTCCCCCCCCATCCGCCCCCTTTCCAGGGAAAAGGCCCTGAGAATGAGGAGTGAATGGGGGGAGCAGAGCAGAGTAGGGTCCGTGGTTCAAGCAGCTAGAAGTGCAGATGGAGAAGCCATTAACCTGGCCAGTCTTTGTAAAGCAGAGCTGCTTGCAGCAAAAGACCGCTCAGAACTCTCAGGACAAAGACAAAGCTGCTTTTGTGTTGATTTTCTTTTTCTTTCATTCTTTCCTCTTGTCTCTCCAGCTTATGTTGTGTGTCCAGGAGGGAGTTTAGTTTGGTTCGCTTACACTCTTTTCTCCCTGTCGCCTCTCCTTAAGGATCCAACAGTGTCTTTGGCCATAAAGAGGGCCCAGGGGGCCTGCCAGGCTTCGGCAGCCCCCACCATGACACCTGGAACAGGCTCCACCGGACCCCACCCTCCTTCCCCACCCCTCCACAGTGGCCCAAGTCTGCAGACACGGAGCGCAGCAACTCAGTCAACAGCCACGAGCGTGAGAGAGAACGAGAGCGGGAACGGGAGAGGGAGCGAGAACGGGAGAAAAGAGATTCATCCATCAGCAAAGAGGAAAAGGATAAAGATAGGTATGTAGTTTATATGAATACAATTCAGAATTATTTCTATTAGTTGTAAGTAACACAAGTGTTTGTGTTAATTGAATGCACATTTTCATGCACACATATTTCCAACTAAAGGAAAAAAAACTCCCTTCTAACCTTCTGATAAATACATATTTTTATTTTGTTTGTGTCCCTCACAGAGATTCGATTGACCGTAACCGCCACTCCAACCGTTCATCCCCTGCGTCGGCCCCAACCAGCTACCAGATCAGCAGCCTGATCCGCTCTAACAGCCAGAACTCCAGCGACTCGGGTCGCCACCACAGCGGCAGCGTGGACCGGGTCCGGGAGGCAGAGAAGGAACTCCCGGAGCGCCACCGAGAGGTGGCCATGTTGGGGGAGGTCAAGGTGAAGGAGAGCCGCTCCCCTGGAGGAGGGAAGGAGGTGACAGACAGAGACAGACGCTCCTCAGAAGACTCCATCAAACCAGCCCACCGCACGCCCTCCCCCTACTCCAAGGCTGTCCTATCTGAAACAGGCATGAAGATGGCTGGTGGCCCCCCACCCACGCTACTCAAGGACGGGGACAGGGACAGGAAGGAGGCTCGTCCATCCTCCGGGGGGGACCTGCTGCTGCACAAGGTGAAGAACGACATGAAGATCAAGGAGGAGCGCAAGGAGGACCAGGATGTGGTGGTGGTGAGCTCCGAGCCTGCCCCTCAGCCTGCTCCTCCTCCTCAGCCTCTACCTCCTCCACCGCCCCAGCCCGGTCACCACCACCACCACCACCCTCCTCTGTCCCAGCAGCCCCCGCCCCCCTCCCCACGCTGCAGTGAAATGCCCACCCACGGCTCCCTGCACGGGGTACACATGGCCCACTCCTTGCCCCTCTCCATGAGCGCCATGCACCAGATGGGAAGTCTCAACGTGCTAGACCGGGCTCGCATGGCTCCCTTTATGGGGGTGAGCCCCCTGGCTGCTGCTGCAGGGAGGGACCGGATGCCCCACCAAGCCTTCCCCTGGGACCCACTGAGGGAGGCCTACCGCAACATGGACCTGCAGCGCAGGATGGACTTCCATCTGAGGGCGGAGCAGGCCCAGCGCTTCCCCAGCATGTACGAGCAGGAGCGGGCCTACCGGGAGAGAGAGGCCCACGACTACTCCCACCACGAGCACCTGCTGGAGGTACGGCGGGAGCATGAGAGAATGAGGCAACAGGCAGAGGAGAGGGAGCGCCAGCACCTGAGGGAGGAGCTGGACCGGGCACGGCTCCACCAGCTGCACCAGTCCCCCATGGAGGGACACCTGCCACACATGCCCCCTTTCATGCCCCACCTGGGCGGCATGCCCTATCCCAGACTCAGCCCCTCCACCGGACACAATGGCCTGCTGAACCGGACGCCCCCCACTGCTGCACTTAGCGCCCCCCCTCCACTAGTGGCAGCGGGGAGCGCCAGACCAGCCTCCCCCAGAAGGACTACCCCCCTCACCACCCAGGACCCCCGAGATTACTCCCCCTCCCGCAACCCCAAAGAAGTGGAGGCACGGTAGCTTTACATACAGACAAAGGACATGGATGCTTAAAAAGACTCAATCCCCAATTTGGAACCTTCTAGAGAGAACAAAATGCACTGCTTTACGATGGAGAAAGGCATTAGTAAACGAGGAAACAGTATGATTGTACAAAGGAAAGATTTGTAAGGTTGAAGAAGCACATGCCATGATTTTATTTTACATGGACAGGCTGATGAGGATGTTGGTTAGAAGAACTTGAATCAAAAAGTATGTGTACGCTCGTTTCCGACTTAAAATTTGATAGTAATATATTCATCTAATACCTTTTTCGATTTTGAGCGAAAAGTGAGATTCTGATTAAAATGAGTTTGTACATTTTCTATCCTCGTTCCATGTATAGACATCATTTTTATGGATTTGTATTTTGTGCATTAGTCTCTTATTTTCAAAATCCCAGTCCATTGTGAGCTCCACAGTACAGACTGGACTTTTTACCCTTACAACAGTAATGTAACCTCATGGTACCTGGAAATACTCATTAGTGATAATGTACGAAGTTACATTAAAGATTTGTTGCGTTTTATTTGCTTTGCCTTTGAGATATGCAGACAAATATATATTACGAGGTCTTTGTTCGGTCTCTGTAAAGAAAATTCATGTAAATATCTTGTTGATATTCCTTGCAGCAAAATGTAAATTTATTAGGCTTTTTAAATGTTTCTAGAAAAACAAATGAAATCAAAACTGAACCACTTGCCAGTTGGAAACCATGGTAATAGACTAGCCTGTCCAATGGGAGGGAAGGAGGGTGGGCATCAGAAGGGGGCTGGAATGATCATCTGCAATCTATGCAAAGAGGCGCTGAGCACCCCGATGGAGAGCCACCTGGAATGGAATGGACACTGTTGGATATTGTTGATTCAGTGAGAGGAACTTGGAATAACTCAACATGTTTTTCTTTCCAATGATGGTCAATGGAATTATAAACCTACTGACTTCCCCATTACAGAGAAACTGTACCAGAAGCTTACATACAGCCCCAAAATGAATTGACAGCAAAAGAAGACACTTTTGATTGGGCGGCAATAGGACTTTCTCTGTCGACCGTTGTGGTGTTGTGCAGTTGTTGTTTTTTAGACTTGTATACAAAACAATTAGAGTTTTAGGCGTGCAAAAAAAATGAAAACGAACATTCGTGATTTAAAATTGTACGGAATAAAGTTTGGACCTAATATCAGCAGTATGTTGCTTTTTATTCACCTGAATGATCATTCTCTGAGACCAGGGTTACTGGATATAACCCCTCCTAATTGTAGAATGGTGATATAACAATAATACACAAATCACTAAAGGAAACAGTTTTTCATAGATTTGCCAATACTGCCAGTGTCTTAGCTGGCTCATTTACATTTACATTTACATTTTAGTCATTTAGCAGACGCTCTTATCCAGAGCGACTTACAGTTAGCACATACATTATTTTTATCGAACCCACAACCCTGTTTGCATAATGTAGCACATTGCTAACAAATCATAAAAGAAATACAATGGAGCCAAGGAGGGTTCTGTTCTAATTCTGATCATTTGACTGTAATCTCACATGGATCAGTTGCAGAGCTCTCACAGATCTCGTGGGGGATCGATGGGATTGGGAAGAGAGGCAATAGAGGGTGGGACTAATAGGACATTGAATTTGTAAGAAAGCAGGTTGTAAGTGTTTGTGTTGCAGGTAACCGCTATTGACTGACGAGCGGAGTATTGACCTGCGGTCTGGACTCATTAAGAGGAGCAATGCCTGGGAGAGAGGCAGTGGGCTATTGGATGTTAGATGAGAGGAGAGCCTCGACCCCCCCCCCCCTTCTCCCCATCCTCTCCCCACACTCATCTGTTTCGCTAATGAGCCCGGAAGGTCCACCGGAGCGATCTGAGGAGGGGGCACATAGACATCCCACTATCGATGAGGGCCTTCCGCTCTCTCTCTCTCTCTCTCTCTCTCTCTCTCCCTCTCTCTGTCTCTCTCTGCCTCACCTCCGAGCCGCCTGTCCAGAGATGGGCGATTCACCCTGATAATCCCCCTCCTCCACCCCTAACCCCCCTCCATCTCTCTCTCGCCGACTGCGAGTCACACCAATCCTGTCCCTGGGTATCAGAGCGTAATGACAGCCCAGATCAAACCACAGTGAGGTCATTAAGTGATGTTATTGAAAATCAATGCTGCTCTTCTGTCTCACAGGCTCACCAGAAGGCAGGCGCTTGAAAAGGTATCCTTGAAAAGACTGGGTTTGCCAGAACGGGGCATTGGTGTATTGGGAAGACTTAAATCACTATCGCTTTCAATTTAGGCTGGCTGTAATTGAGCCACATATTCCACGATGTCCCGACGGGGAGCATCTGTTTGCTGCGTGCTTCACTTTACTGCCATGTGCTTTTATTCCTAATCAGACAGTCAACATCATGAACTTAACCCCCCTACCTGTTAGGCTACAGCACAGTGGGAGAGGGGGGGGGGCTTTTATTTACTAGCTTTTGTGGAAAAACAACTTCCATTTTTCTATCCCTCCCTTATTCCCTCCATCCCTTATCCAATTTTGTTCAATTCATTTTATGGTTGAACATTAAGAGGTTCTGTGTGAGATGAAATGCTCCATCAATTTTACTCATTGTCTAGCAAGGTCAATTTATTTCAACACACAGTCCATCAGCAGATGGGAATCATTTGATACATTGCTTAACAGCGTATCTAACGCAGCAACGTGCATTTTACAGCAGACAAAGCCTTTTTCTTCTTGAGCAATTCAGCATATCCTCCCTTAGAAACAATATCAGTATTATGCAGATATATACCATAATGTGTTTTATGGTGCTTCAGCCTATAAGCTACTTTCCAAGGCTCTGTATAAAGAAAAACATATTTTCCTACACAATTAATAGGATAGAATGGTATAAGAAATGGTATATACGAGGTAGGACATTGTTTTTTTTTTGTTCTGATAATCCCCTGCGTTTATCAGGGAGAAACCTCAATGCTGAAGGTTGGGATTGTATTTTCATGGTGTTTTAATACCTCCAAAAAGCTCCTGGCACAGAGTTCACCCCAAAGCCAGCGTACAGAGGGGCAGGCCCGGGGGCTTTCTTCAGTCACAATGGCAGCTAATAACGCTGTGCCAAACTAATAAGATTGGCAACGAATGATATGGATCGGTCCAAGACTATTTTTCCCCCTGATAAAACATGTATGAAACCATTTTCAGCAGCAATGCAGCGCTCTCCACAGCCAGGGCTAATGCATTAGTTCCCATTTGGAGGGTGTTTTGAAATGGAGATTGGTCATGAGACTTGGAGGCCCCATGATCGTGTTGGAATTGCTGTGGGCCGGAGGGCTTCCGGACTCCGCTGGGCTTGGTGATTTGGTCGGGTTCTGCTTAGGTTGGGAGTTCAGACCCAGCTCTCCAAGAGGGAACAGTCAACACCCCAGACAGTGATCATCGCTAGACTATACAGTATCTGCGTCAGATATGGCACCCTATTCCCTACATAGCAAAAGTAGTGCACTAGAGAATAGGGTACCATTTACCTTTACAGTGAGGGAAAAAAGTATTTGATCCCCTGCTGATTTTGTACATTTGCCCACTGACAAATAAATTATTAGTCTATAATTTTAATGGTAGGTTTATTTGAACAGTGAGAGACAGAATAACAACAAAAAAATCCAGAAAAACGCATGTCAAAAATGTTATACATTGATTTGCATTTTAATGAGGGAAATAAGTATTTGACCCCCTCTCAATCAGAAAGATTTCTGGCTCCCAGGTGTCTTTTATACAGGTAACGAGCTGAGATTAGGAGCACACTCTAAAAGGGAGTGCTCCTAATCTCAGCTTGTTACCTGTATAAAAGACACCTGTCCACAGAAGCAATCAATCAATCAGATTCCAAACTCTCCACCATGGCCAAGACCAAAGAGCTCTCCAAGGATGTCAGGGACAAGATTGTAGACCTACACAAGGCTGGAATGGGCTACAAGACCATCGCCAAGTAGCTTGGTGAGAAGGTGACAAAGGTTGGTGCGATTATTCGCAAATGGAAGAAACACAAAATAACTGTCAATCTCCCTCGGCCTGGGGCTCCATGCAAGATCTCACCTCGTGGAGTTGAAATGATCATGAGAACGGTGAGGAATCAGCCCAGAACTACACAAGAGGATCTTGTCAATGATCTCAAAGCAGCTGGGACCATAGTCACCTAGAAAACAATTGGTAACACACTACGCCGTGAAGGACTGAAATCCTGCAATGCCCGCAAGGTCCCCCTGCTCAAGAAAGCACATATACAGTGGGGGACAAAAGTATTTAGTCAGCCACCAATTGTGCAAGTTCTCCCACTTAAAAAGATGAGAGAGGCCTGTAATTTTCATCATAGGTACACATCAACTATGACAGACAAAATGAGGGAAAAAAATCCAGAAAATCACATTGTAGGATTTTTAATGAATTTATTTGCAAATTATGGTGGAAAATAAGTATTTGGTCAATAACAAAAGTTTCTTAATACTTTGTTATATACCCTTTGTTGGCAATGACACAGGTCAAACGTTTTCTGTAAGTCTTCACAAGGTTTTCACACACTGTTGCTGATATTTTGGCCCATTCCTCCATGCAGATCTCCTCTAGAGCAGTGATGTTTTGGGGCTGTCGCTGGGCAACACGGACTTTCAACTCCCTCCAAAGATTTTCTATGGGGTTGAGATCTGGAGACTGGCTAGGCCACTCCAGGACCTTGAAATGCTTCTTACAAAGCCACTCCTTCGTTGCCCGGGCGGTGTGGTTGGGATCATTGTCATGCTGAAAAACCCAGTCACGTTTCATCTTCAATGCCCTTGCTGATGGAAGGAGCCAGAAATCTTGCTTGTTTGTAGGTGACCAAATACTTATTTTCCACCATAATTTGCAAATAAATTCATAAAAAATCCTACAATGTGATTTTCTGGGGAAAAAAATCTCAATTTGTCTGTCATAGTTGACGTGTACCTATGA